AGAAGTTAAACAAGGAACGAGACAAGTGACGTGGGAAAAAATCTTCCAATCCAATAAATACCATGCGGATGATTAGGATTTTCATAAAACTCGAAAGTAAAGTTGCATCAATTGGAACAAGGGAGTGAGAATAAGTACCTAATTGTATCTCATATCAGGAATTTAAAATAAATCAAAAATTGGATGAGTGGGATGTGGGATATGCGGCGCATTCTTCATCCTCCTTGTGGTAGTTTTCTTCCAACAATTGACAAACCACTAATGCGAAGCTCTCTTAAAGAATAAGGCAGCTTTTCTCCAGACATTTTCTCCAGCTTGGGACACCCCCTGACGTTGAGTTGTTGGAGGGAGGTTAGGTGCTCAAGTCCTGTGCAATCCAACGTCTCCAAGTACCTGAAGTTGCTGAGCTGCAGAGTGGTGAGAGTGGCAGGAAGAGAAAAGCCCTCCGGGAAACAATTGACATCTGAACCATTAATATGAAGGAGAGAATGGTAGTTAGGAGGTGCCACTCTGCTCGAGGGGATAATAGCTTGCCACAGTATTGAATATAAAGTTTCCTCAAACTTGGCACAAGGATCCCTTCTGGAAATGCTTCCATCTCTTGACAAAGAGTTATCCATAGATCTTTCAAATTTGGGAGAAGATGTTCCATGTCATCCGACATAAACTTCACAAAATTACAACGCAGCTGAATGGCTATAGATTGGAGATTTTGTAGAGGAGCAGTTGAACTCAACACAAAATTGACATTCGGACAAATGTGTATCGTTAACCGTTGTAGTGATGGGGGCAAATGAATCATTTGATGTGATGTATTGGAGCACTCCCAGATACCTAATTCTTGAAGACGCAAATGTTTAGAGAGTGCCTCCGACATTGATTCCAACATCCGACATCCTGTAATTTCTAGCTTCCTAAGGGAAGCAGGTAACTCTTTCTCTTTGCCACCCACCCCACACTTCCACATCCACCTGTCGATAATCCTCAATTTCGGGACACCTCGGGATACAAGAAGCCAGCAATGGACACCATTTGATAATAGAGTTTTTAGAGAAAGCAATTGGCTAGGTAATTTCCAACTAATTCAGGGCAAAACGATATAAGGAGATATCGAGTTTAGGGAAAGCTTCCATGTCAAGGGAATGCCATTCTTTTCCACGAAGTCATGTGTGAAAACGCAAGACGTTTCAAGAGATGGAAATGGTATCATGGGGAGCACATTCACCGGCCTTCAAAAACTCTTCGCCAATCTTCTCAATACTTTCTAATCCTTCAATATATAATCTCCTTAGAGCCGGGAGCTGCCCGAGGGGGGGAAGCATGCAACAGTTTTTGCAATTATCCAGTCGAAACCAAGTCACGTTGTGGTAGCGAGGACTCCCCAACCAATCCGGAAATGCTGTGCCCCTATAACGCTGTATTTCCAATTCTTCTAAATCCCAATGAGGTTGAAGCTTGTCCAAAATATCCCTCTCTCTCTTGCTGTATCGTCCACGCCGTCATCCTTTGACCATGATAATGTTAGATCCTTAATGTGCTTCTTCTCTGTCATCCTCGCTTCATAGGCTTCATTTCCATTCTTGACATTCTCTAATTTATTAATTGCAACCCAACCCTTTAAATTTTTCATTGCTCCCAATTCTCCAATATTGATCCCTTGCTCTTTTCCAACAACAAAGTCACTTAAAAATTGCAAATTTTTTAACTTGCCTAATCCCCTCGGCATTTCTTTCAAACCAGTGTTCCTAACATCAAGATGCCGCAAGTTTACAAGATCTTGCATGTCATTTGGCAGCATCTTAAGACACAAACATCCACGCAACATCAACGTCCTGTAAATTATACATCTTACATGTTGAACCTGGCAAACTTTCAATTCTTGTGTTTGATAGATCCAAATAGCGCAAATGGATGAATTCCCCTATAGAATCAGGCACTATCCTTAATGCAAGCGAACCTTGAAGTGACAACATTCGCAAGTACTTCATATTTGATGGTAGAATATGAGGAGCGTTTCCAACAGACTCAGGGATATTGAAAAATTTCAATCCTATAAATGTTCGTAAGGAGTTTTTTTTTTGAAAAACTCATGGTCTAAGCATGCATGATTCTGATAGTTGCATGACAAATGGCGTGTCTTCTTATCAACTTTGTTTCCATTCTTCTCTAACCGAAAGTAGAAGTCTCCAGCAACATGAGTTGCTAAGTCATGAATGAGATCATGCATGACAAACTCTCTTCTTTCTCTAAACCTAAGATGAGAGTACTCAGTACTTTTTTGTAAGGGTTGAAAGAATGATCTTGAAGTTAAATCATCAAAGTACTCATGACCAACTTCTTCTAAAGTCATGTTCCCCTTTGGCGGCTGCAAAAAACCTTCTGCCATCCACATCAAGATTAATTGCTCCTTATGAAATGGATAATCCTCTGGGAACAAAGAACAATACGCAAAGCATTGTTTTAAATGAGGAGGGAGATAATAATAACTTACTCTTAAGGCAGGAATGATCTCATTGTCCGATGAATCCCACATGACATTTTTCAATATTTTATTCCAATCTTCGGAGTCAGGTTTTGATCGAAATACTCCCCCAAGTACTTTTGCAGCCAAAGGCAATCCTTTACACTTGCTAGCAACATCGCTCCCAATGTTTTCTAAGCAGGAGTTCACATTTGATTCGTTAGAATGGAAAGCATGTGCAGCAAAAATTGACAAACAATCTTCATCAGACAAGACATTGAGGCGATAAAATGATGAGATGGTTTTAGCTATCAAAGCAACACTCTCATGGCGAGTTGTAACAAGAATTTTGCATCCTTCCACTCCATTCTGAAGCAAATTCTTCAAAGTATCCCAATCAGTGATTTTGTCATTCCAAACATCATCAAGAACAACCAAAACTTTCTCCTTTCTAACTCTTTGGCCAAATGATGTCGAAGAAGATTTAAATCCATATTATCACAAACAAAATCAGGACTGATGGATTTAATTATAGACTGTGCTATTTTCAAATGATCAAATGCTTCAGAAACGCAAACCCAAGCGGTAAGATCAAATTTTTGCTTCACATCGTTATCATTATAAACTAGTTGGACTAAGGTGGTCTTCCCAACCCCGCCCATGCCCACGATAGGGATTACAGACAACTGATCACCATCATCATCATGGAACAGAAGCTTAATTAGATCTTCTTTTTCTTTCTTCCTTCCATAAATATCAGAGACTTTCACATGAGACATAACTGGAGGCCTCCATGACAAAGTTTCTTTTCCACTCGTCGTCTTCAAATCAAGGGCATCTTTGAGTGCCACAATATGTTCAATTCTATCAGATATAGCTTCTAACTTATTTGCCAGGCTCGTATCACGCAAACCACAAGAAGCAAAGGAGAAATAGTGCACCTTTTTCTGAGTGGCAGCTCGTGTGGAAATCTCATCCATCAAGTCTTCCAGGTCATAAGCAGCATCTTTGAGTTCATCAAGCCAATCTTTGACAGCAGGATCGGTGAGTTGTTTGAGTTCAGCATCATTGAGCAGGGCTCTTGCAACAATCAGGGACGGCTTCAAACGCTGAAGGAGCTTGTTGTCGAGCTTCTTTCCACAAATCAAGTTGATCAAGCCAGCTTGGTCAGGTGTTAACCTCTCCAAAAGCACATTGAAGACAGCAGAAAGAAGTGCTTCGGCCATGATCTCTTTGGGAATGAGTGGTATTGCTCAAGACAGTGAGAATGCTCGGAAAGTTCAACAGCAGAGAAGATAAGATCAATACAGGTGGGGCGTGCTTTATATGATTTGAAAGGTGGTGGAAGATATTGTTGTACATAACCAAAACGTTAAGTACTTGTAAATAACATTTAAAATTAATATTTTTCAGATATATTAACATCCTTTTTTTTTTTGACAACTTGATCTATTAACATTAACATTAATGTAAAAAAATGTAGAATTTACAGCAAATTATACTATCAGTAGATCATAAATGATATCATTCATTTGTTTGAGTATATATTCAAGTCATCGATTCAAATAATATAAATTTTGGAATTGAAATTGAAAATAAAATATTTTAAATTTTAAATATAACTAACAATTTATAATTGAAATTTTTATTTATAACATTATGAATTAATTTATGTAATTTATGTTTTAAAAAATTTATCTAAAACCTAGTATTCCCTCCGTTAAAAATGCAAGACATTTTTAATCGAATCTTAGCTTCAATGAAGTAATTACCTACTTTTAAACTAATTCTATCTTTTCATATTTATTTCTATTAAATATCCTATAATAAATATAAAATTATTTATTAATAGGAATATTTTTTTAAAAAAAATAATGCTTACACTTTAAAAGATTAAAATATTTTATATTTTTTAATATTTAATTTTTTAAAAAATATTTTATATTTTTAATGAAGAGAAGAGAGTAACTGTTGTTTTTTTATCCTTTCAGCTTTACTGTCATTCTTTCAAATAATACCGCCTCCGGTGATGAAAAACATTTTCTATAGACTATTTTATTCATAATGCAGGACATTTGTAGTTTAAAAAAAAAAACAGCTTTTTTATGTCTTTTTTAACTGTATAGAACAATGTGAGTTTAGAAATTATATATGGAAAATGTTGAGTATTAGTTATAAATAATAACGAAACTGAAAAATCAAGTCCATTTTTCGTGAGACCAAAAGAATTCAATTTACTTTATACGTGTTCGACATGAAACTGGAGGGTCATGGAAAAATTTTGAAATTCGAATTCTTGAGGAATCTCTACCACTTACGTTAATTGAAAGTATATTTATTAAAATTTACTTCCATCTAAAAAATTTTTGTATTTTCTTGAAATGGTAATTGGTAATTAAATTGGGACGAGAGAGACGGGGAGCACCTCTGTCGAGAAAATAATGAAGAGAGAGGGGACAATGATTAATCCGTGTGCGGACCACGTTGCGTTAGTTAAAAGCCTGAACACGCGTTGTGGAAATTAAAATGACATGGCATGGCATGAACAAGGGAGTCATAACTAGTAATTGCATATCCAGAGAATCCAAGCCGGTTCGGGTGGTAAGATTACCCAACGCATACTCTGAGAGGGTCACTTTTACAATAATAACCTTAAAAATAATTAAAGATATAATGAATATAAAAGTGTTAATCATTTTCTTCACCCCTTCATCTTCCCTTGCCAAACTTTCAATATGATAAGGGTTAACTTTTTTTATTTATTATTATCATTTATATAATTCTTAATATAAAATCAGGTATTTAAATTGAGCATGTTATTTATATTATAAAGGATAATAATCCAAAGAAAATTTTCTCATTCTTTTATCTCCATTTCTTCTCCATGTATATCTTCTTTTCTAATTGGTTATTTTCATAACAAAAGACAAATATTTTATCTTGTGCTATATATAAATTTCTTTCCATAAAAAATTGAAATTCTTTGTAGAAAACATATTATTAATTATTTTTTAATTTTTTTGGTCACATGTTAATTTTTTAATCTAACTCTCTCATTTTGTATAAATTGAATAAAAGATTATATATGATTGAGAAAATTTTTAAAGATAACATATCTTCTCTACTGTAATGATATAATTAAATGTGACTTGTATATAAAATTAGATATAATAGTTTGAATATATTATAGTGATTTTTGTTAAATAAAAAATTAATTTGTAGGTATTTATGATTTTTTTCTATTTTAAATTATGTTTAAGTAGTTTATTTTGTTTGAATTGAATATTTATAATTTGCTTTATTAGATATGGTAATCCATTAAAATTAAAATCCTTCGACTTTTTCGATATAAAAAAAATGAATCAAACACTTTTTGGCCAAAAAAAAACTTTCACATGTTCATTAAAATATTATATAAAATTAATTACAAAATTACTTAATTAGATTATGTCTTTTGAATGAATATATAGCACATATATATAAAGTTAATAAAAAATGTAAATATTGTATTAAATAATTTTTTTTGACCAGAAGTATTAACTTAATTTTTTAAAATTTTAAAAACTTTTTTATTTTGAGAAAAATAATCATTCATTAATAATTTTAACATTCAAGAGTTAATGTATATAATGGATCAAACTATGAGGGTTCAATTCGAACAAAAATAAACTATAAAGACTTCATTGAAATTAAAAATTATAAATAACCATAAATTAATTATTCCTTTGTTAAATTCAAAATAAACTTGTTATTTAAGTAAGTTTTACATTATTCAACTTATGGTTAAATGAAGTTAAAATTCTGTAATCAATTTTTCTTTCCCTTTGCTCATACATGTTTTTATCAAAGATCGATAAGTTGAATAATTATCCAATTTTTTAAAATTGAATTCATTACAATCCTTCTTTCCCGCCCCTCCTTCCAAGCTAAACGATGGTTATTGGCAAATCAGGTGTGCTTTAGCACTCATTGTTGTGACGAGGCCTAATTATTTTATTTTATTTTATTTTAACAATTAGAGGAATCTCGGTTAATTTATCATAGATCCTGGCAGATACGTTTTCAATGTGTGTACAGAGAAAGGACCACTTATGCTCAGACTAGAAAATAAAAATTGCTAAAAGTATAAAAGAAAATCATATTTAGATTTGGCGCGAAACAAAATCCTTGAATGCTTAGTTGGTCGGACGGTGACAGGACGCTGGACGTGAAATGGTAGATTTGTCGTACGAGGCAGTCTTTGACCGTCTGTGCTGTTCACGGTCTCATTGCGGAAAATTGGGCCACAAAAGAAAAAAGGTTAGGGAACAGAAATAAATAAAAGACGCGTGGAAATG